GAGCGTCCAAAAGGGGCAGGGCTGGCGCGGTGCCTGGGGATGCTCTCAGAACGCGGCAGGTGGAGCCTGCGCTGGAGGGGCACGTGGCCCAACCCAGGTGCCTGGGGCCACAGCCCCTCTCTGCGGATCCCTGACCAGCCTCTTACTCTTTTTGTCCTGACCCGTCCTGGATGTCGACCTGGGACGCTGAGGAGATGTTTTAGACCGGCAAAAAGTTGACTTTGAAAGTTGACTTTCAAATTATCACACCAGTTACCGATCGAGCTTACCTCTTTCGGGATACTAGCTCCACTGCGAGAAGAGTTTCTCTTTTTAAGATCCAGGTTATTTGAACCCAAGTCCTCTTCCCCAGCACTTACTGTGGTGGCCACCAGTGGCCTGTCCTGTATTTGGGTCTGTTGAGGACCAGTGGGGGTATCCCAAGTGACAGAGCTGTCCTCTTTTCATAGACTGACTTCTAGTTGCTACAAAAGTGGCTTCAGCAGATGTGCTGGCGCCTGGTTTGGATTTCCAATTTGGAATTCAGCTGTGGACTCAGGGTTGTTCCAGATTCTAAGTTTGTGTGTGGCTTAGGCGACTTCATTCTGGCAGCTTTCCCCTCTTGCCTTGGCCACTAACGGCTTTGGGTAGGGAGAGTCAGGGCTGGAGATGAATTTGTGATGAGGCTGGTTTGCATTTAAAATTGTGACTGTTGAAACTTTACCAGATTCTCTGCTCAAATGTAGAGGCAGGAGCGGGGCCAAGGAACCACCTGTGGAAAACCAGAACTTTTCTAGAGCTTCCCACCGTGCCAAGTGTGAGAGAGCCAGTCTACCTCCAGGGCCAAATGTGTGACCTCAGGGCAGGTTGCGACTCTCTCTTGGATGACACATCACTGACTGAAGGTGCTAGATGCCTGTCTGTCACGCTCTGGCTTCTCCTTCAGGATTATATCACCATATCAACCAGTGTTGGTGCCACTGGCTCTGTAATTTAGAAATTCTCTAATGGCTGTCACTTGTTATACTCTGAATCGATTGAACATCTGGGGTATATTCAGGGCCAGACAGTCCTATTTGCCTGTGGTCTTGAGTCAGCTGGGCGGGCTCTGCAGGGATGAGACAAGAATGCGAGAGAGGTCTGGGTGCGGGGAAGGGTTCTGAACAGACCCTGAAGTAAGTCAGGGCACGGAAGGCTCTCCCAGGGCCGGGGCACTACCTGGGCTTGCTCAGTAAATGGAGGGGGGTGCTGCCACTGCAAGTAGATCCAGATGTGGAGAAATAAGGAGAGCTGGGAGAGAAGCTGTTCCAGCTCGCTCCTGCCAGCAAACACTCCCACGGCTGTGACTACACGTGGCAGTCTGCCTCCCTAAATCCTGACCGCAAAAGGCTGACTGCAGCTTCTGCCTCCTGGGCTTTGGGGACACAGGATTTAGTAACTTCTGTCAAGATGCTTTGATGAGGGGCTGGTCCATTTTATCTAAGTTGGGCCCCCAGGTGTTACCCTGAGAAGGGGACTGTAGCCCATGGCTTTTAAAATAAAAGCCCCAAGTGGAAGCGTCTCCCTGCTCGGCTGGCAAGTTTGTCAGTATGTCCTGCCACTTCTGCCAAGCTAATTCCAGCCCTGCTCTGGCCTCTGCCAGAAACCCTACCTCCCCTAACCCCAGGGCTGGAAAGGAATTGTTTCCTCATACTCATTTCCTTTTCTAAACAAATGGACTGAACTTTGACCTTGGTGGGCCATGAGAGATGGGGTCAGTGATTGAGCCAGGTGGAGGATGAGGGTGTGGCTGCTCTTCCCTTGGGGCTCCAGGATGTGTTTGGGGTGGAGCCCTGAACGGGGCTGTGTGTTGAGACGATGGGACGATGGGATCACCCCCTTCTGGTTGAACAACCTCTTCTGTTCTTCCATCCACTCCTCCAAGCCACTCAGGTGAAACTTAGCAAACACAAGCATCAGAGCAGCCTTGAGGAAGAACATCCCTCAAACCATGCAGCCTGGGAGTTGGGAGAGGCACTTGACCTTGACTAATCATGCTGGGCAGCTGGGGGGTGGATTGTAGATGAGCCTGAGATCATTTTAGAATGGAGGGAGAGAAGCCACCTCTTCCCCGCATCCAGGCACAGCTGGACATGTGGTTGATGAGGTCCTAAAGCCTCATGATAAGGTTCAGGGGGACCACCAAGCTCTATGGTTAGTTAGAGCCCTGATCTGGGTGTCTGGAATCTTCCACTGACTGTGTGAGCCCAGGCAAGGCCCCTCCTCCCTCTGGGCCCCTTAGTTTTCCCATCTACAAAATGACCAGATGGGCTCAAAAGGCCTTGGCATCTCTGATGCCCTGGGCTCAAAGTGCTGCTTCTGGGAGCAGCCTCTACTGCTGGGTTCAACTTAGCACAGACCCCAGATTTCTGACAGGGACGGAGAAAAGGCCACTGAAAGAAATATTGACAGAGGGGGCTGGACCCTGTCTATAGCCTGACCTTCAGTCTCCCCAGTCCAGGGTTCAATCTCTCTGTCTTGGCAGTAAATGACATAGGTCAGGAGCGTGGGGTCCCAGCTGGTCTAAGCCTCAAGTGGTGCTTCCGAGTGTGGGCTGTGGATCCGTGCATCAGAGTCACTTGGGGAGTTTGTTAAATGTGCAGGGTCCTGGGCCGTTCCCCCTACCTCCCAGAGCTAGGGATCAGGAGCTCTGTGGGTGGAGCCTCCAGAGATTCTGATTTTACTCAACAAGATGAACAATAATTGTAAGTAACATTTATCGGGTACTCATTTTGGTCCAAGAACAAGCCTAAGTGTTTCACATGCATTAATTCGTGTAATTCTCATCACTGCAGTGCTGTGAGTTCGGTTCTATCAAGCGAGTTTCCCAGGCACTTCCAGGCGACATTTATGTACTGATCTGGGGAACACAGTGGTTACCCCCTTCAAGCGAGACGTGGAGGTCAGGATACAGTGAGCCTCTCATAGGCAGTGGCTTCAGACCTGCTGGACCGTGCAGAGAGGAGCGGCTTGATTGAGGCTGACACCGGCTGTGTACAGGGGAGACAACAGAGCCCCATGCCTGGCATCTCCCTCGGTGGACGGGGCAACGTCTCAACACTGATGAGGCCATGTTTTGGGAGATCTCTGTGCAGGGAGGGCACAGGCCATGGAGGGAGATTTCCTGTCTGGACCTCAGTTTCCCCAGGTGTGCTGGGAGGGCGCCTCCCTAAGGCCCCCCTCTCAGCTCCCTGATCCATGAAATGGCTCTCGGCCATGTGAAGATGCGCCAGTTAACAAGTGGGATTGCCCTGCCTGGAAAACTTTGGAAGCAAGGTGGGCCTGAAAAGATGGGTACAATGTCCTCAAGCCTCCATGTGAAGGTGGCATTGCTGGTGGTTCCACGTGACCTATAGGGGATGGTGGGAATGGCGGGGCTTCAGGCCAAATCTCCTTTCTGTCTGGTAAGGTATCAGAGCTGCCAAGGACCCCTGGGAGTCTTTACAGTAGGGGAAACTGAGGTCTGGAGAATTTACCTAAACTCACACTCCAACTTAGAGTTAAGACAGAGTAGCACATCCGTCTCCGAGGTTCTTTCCAAAAGGTTTGCTCCATGGCATTGAAATAAGAAGGCGTCTCCTCCGAGGGAACCTCGTGTTTCGGGAATGTGATGATGGTATTAAACCCAAAAGTCCCAACCCACCAACCAACAAAGCTCAGGGCTTCAAGGCTAATTATGTGTTTGCCCATGAGTCACAGAGGCTGTTTTTGCTAAAGAGACCAGAGCCAGAGCGCCTGGTCCAAGCGCTTCCACTCCTGGGGAGGGACCACGTCAGAGTGCCCAGGTGAGCTGTCTGTCTGTCCTTCTGTGTGTCTGCGGGCTCAGTGAATTCCCTGGGCCAGCGACAGACGCCAGGCTGCTCCCCCTCCCAAGACAGGGGCTGGACCAAGTCGCTGCAGTGACTAAGGACGCGTTTGGCTGCCTGGAGGAGGAGGGTGTAATTAGGGCAGTTTTGTGGGTCTTTAACTGTCATGGCTACCAAGCGGCACAGGGCAGCGTGGACTATTAGTCCACTGTGTGCTGGGCTCCTGAGGGTCTCAGGCTGCCGTGGAAGCCGGCCACACTTGCTGGAAATCCAAGGGCCCGGCTGGTTATCCAGCCTGCTCCTGCGGCCCCTCCCTCCCCTGAGGGCTCTGCAGCTGGGTTTGGGGTAGGCTCCCTGGAGGTCCTTTGCAGCAGTCAGTGCCAGCCGTGGTGGTAACAAGTGCTGGAAAGTAGGAAAGCAGTGCATGTGGTGCTGGAGTGGGCTCTGCAGACACGAGGATTTATAAAAGGGAAAATCTGCAATTTTTTTCAATATTCGTTAAGCTGAGTGTGGTTCGTTTTAAACAGCAGTGGCTCTGTTCCCATAAGGGAGTTGTTCCCATAAGGGAGTTATCTTTTTCCTCCTCTTCCCGAGACGTGAGGCACCACCCCTGGCCGTGGGCCCTTCCTGGGGCTGGCTTGATGCCCCCTCCCCAGCTGGGGAGTGCAAACTCAGAGAGGTCTGAGATGGGTCTTCAGAGGGTTCCATGGCCCACACCCTCATTTATAGATGGGGAAACTAGACAGAGACTGCCCTGGGCTTTCCAGGTTATGGGCACTTTAATTTAGTCCCTAATACTTGGGCTACAATACCATTTTGAAGCGTCCTGGGCATAGGAGTATACATAGAAATTAAGTGCTAGATGGCTTATCACCAGGAGTGATGCTCCACCTTTTGTAAGTCAGTCCAGGGGGTAGATCTCTCTCACACATATATCAAGGGGATGGTCAAACACCCACAACTGTCTGTGTGGACCCCCTGGGAGCACAGGCACAATTATCCTGGTTGATGGATCTCATATCCTTGCCCTGGGACTCAGCCTTAGAATCCTAAAGTCTTGGTGATGGACAGCTGTCATCTAGTCCAATACTCTACCAGGTGTAGAATCTTCTCTCCAGCTTCCTTACCATGTTTCTGCTTACTTTCTGCTTGAACACTTTCAGGGATGGGGAGCTTACTGCCTTATGCGGTTGTCCATTCTGGTTCAGACAAGCTGTCTTCGGTGAAGAACTAAAATGCATGACCCCATAGCTTCTGTGTACTAGTTTCGACCTCGAGAGCCACACTAAGGCTGTTTTCTTTATCCCAGGGCAGCCCTTCACGTACACTAAGAAAGTGCTTGCAGGCTCATCACATCTTCTCTTCTTTCTGCTATTCATCCACAGTTCCTTCAATGGATGCTCAGATGTTCTGGTTTCTGCATCCCCTCACCATCCTCTTACCCTTCTCTAGAAGGCCTTCAATAGACCAGTTTGTCTTTGGCCTTCTTGAAGTTCAGGGTGAAACTGAGAACAGCATTATAGGTGTGGACTGATGAGGGCAGTGTAAAGCAAGACTGTCACCTCCTTTGCTCCATACTTAATACTTCTATTAATGCAGCCGAAGATCACATTAGCTTTTGTGAGCAGTCTTCTTTCTCTGCTACCATCAATAAAAAGCCCTCACATCTAAGGGTGGATGTTAAGTCACTTTTTCAGTGCCTCCTTTCTAAGCTGTTCATTTTCTGCTCTCAAGTTCTGGATCCCACATTTATCTATACAAGTTCATTCTTTTAGATGTGTCCATAGCTTAATCTGGCCCCCTTCCTTTGAATCTAGACTCCATTGTCAAGTTGTTATTTTTCTTTCATTTCTCCACAGTTCTACATACTTATTTGAGTCTTTGATGGAAAGTACAGCAGGCCAGGGCTTGGATGGGCGGTAACTAGGGCAACAATCAAGGCCTGGGTGGGTAGGGGATGAACTTGGGTTCTGTCCTCAGAGTAAGCTTGTTGGGGGCAGGGGAGGGGTGCATTGAGTTGAGGCCAGGTTGGGAAGCCTGGATTTTTCTGAGTTATGGGCCAGACTCAGGACTCCGTGAGTTCAGGGGAACAAAGAAAGGCCAGAGAAGTACCTTCTCCACCCAGCCAGTTTATGCGTTATAGGCCATCATTTGAAATTCCTTCTTCTGACTTAGGACTTTTGCTCATTAAAAGGACAGGCACTGCAGTAACACTCACGGTTCTCATCCAGGAATTTGGAGATGCTGGTTTTAAGCTCTAAGCCTCAGTTTCCCTGCTTGCTGCATTTCCCCCAAATGACGGGCATGCATGGTCAGCAGTTCTTAACCCTTTGGGAGTTAGAGACCCCTTTGAATCTCAGATGGAAGTTACAGATGTCCTACACATACACAGAAATCCATAGTCCCTTGATTAAGAATGCCAAGATTGGGGCTTCCCTGGTGGCGCAGTGCTTGAGAGTCCGCCTGCCGATGCAGGAGACGCGG